TTAAGCAATTCATGATCAAGAGCTAACTCATCATACTTCTCTAGCAACTAACATCTTTGAGCATGGTTAAGCTCCAACTTAGCGATTAAGTCCATGATGGTAGAGTATTTCATATTTGTCACCTCCCACGGCAAAGAAAGCTTAGCTATCCAACTCAATCTCCATTACTCATATTGTGGTCTCGTCCTTTTTCTCTTTCCATGTAGGTAACATCCTACATTTCTCCCACATCTCATGTGCTTCGGATACCTTGCCAACAATTGCCGGGAAGACATGTAATCAAAGTGTGACTGCAATGCGTCATCAAGATAGGGAACACTTTGTGCTGTTCCAAACTGTCGAAATGCCAATTCCATTGAATATGTAATCTCTCCATGAATACCCAACAAAGGAATAGAGTGATGTCCTTCGGGTAAAGCAAGATAATGAGTAGCATTCCAAGTCGGGAGAACAAATCTGACATCATTAATAGTTGCTGTTAGAAGTGATTGATGCCAATCCTCCGTCTTTCTATCTTTCATTGGAACGCTGAATAAAGCTTCAAACTGAGGACTCCTCAAGTGACCATGTGCCCATGTGGTAAACAACTCGATGCAACTTGAGAAGTGACCGGATCTTTTAGCTCAGATTTCTCTCATTGACCATAAAGTTTCAACCACCACTGTAGCAGTAGGATTAAATGCCGAAGTGTGCAACAATTGCCCAAACAAAGCTATCACCATGGGTGCAATGGTCTTGACATAGATAGGAAAGATCACCATGCCATAAATTCCTAATGCCACAAAGTTAATCCTTTGAGAAGATGTCATGCCTTCCAATAAGTTGCCATATGTACAAACGAAGGTTAGTGAAGTAAAATGCCCCTTTTGTGCCTTAAACATGGGACGCCTAGCCTCAGGGATGGGATGCTAAAGGAAACATGTCCTAGGGTTGGTATCTCTCTAAAGCCAATGCATGTTTTCCTAAATGGCATTAGGCCTTCTCAACCATTTATCCTTTCGGAATCAATGGGAGATATTTCTAAATGCTAATATACAGAACGATATTACATCATTAAGTGTCGTATTAATCAATGAAAACAACCTAACGGGAACCAATCTTACTCCTCAAAGCAGGAAGAATTACTCCTCCAAGACAAATTCATTAGGATTCCAGACTAGAGGTTGGGTTCACCTCTGAAACGGACCTAATGCAAAATGAGAGTGAGTGTGTTTAAAGGGCATGACACTCCAATGATCTGCACAATGGCAATCACAAAAATAGCAACATATATCCCACAGAAATCAAATAAAGCTATAAAACACTCAATATATATAGCATCCACAAACACACCTACTTACACAGTAGGAAGGGACTCACCTAGTACTCCCATGCCAAATGCAAAAGGTTAGTAACACAAAGCAATCAACACTTAGCATGCAACAAGATATAGATAATCGCACAAGAGGGAAGAGACTCACTAAGTACTCCATAGCCAAGTGTAAAAGGTGAGTATATCCACACACAAGCAAGCAAGCATGTAAGCATAGTGCATGTTGAATGAGTATGTAACATCAATGATGCATGAGCATGTGAGATGATACGATGGATGAACATATGAGTAAGGTATGATGCATGTCAAGATATAGCAAGATAACTATTCAAAACAAAACAACAGAAGCAAACACCGAAGCTAACACCAAAGCAACAAGCCAACAATCAACAAGCACATGCAACAAGCAACAAGGACAAGCAAAGACTCAACGAGAAAAGAAAATCAAAAGTTGAAAAATTCCCCCAAGGTAAAGCATTAGCTAAACCCTCGTGAACCCAGAATATGGAAACCAGAGATTCCAAGTTCGATCCCCAGTGGAGTCGCCAATCTGTTGACGACCACACTTAAACTTAAAAACATTAAGTGAGTGAAGTGTGAAATATATAAGAAAAATAAGTCGCCACTCGTCCAAATTATAAGGTAGGACAAGTCACCTAAAAAACAGGTTTGCGCAGAGATTGGGGTTCGAGGGTTCAATTAGGTGTGAGGAAGGATATACGCGCACCTCACAATCCTCCGTTTAAACACGGTTGCATACTTTAACATTGGGGTTTTAGTTCAACTTATTCATTATGTTTATGTTTAAGTCTTAATAAGCAATTTTTTTTTTAAAAAAAAAAGATAAACCAAATTGAAACATTTTTAATTTTTGGACTGAAATGAACAAAATCAAGAACATGTATGCACAATAAGCACAAACAAAGATTAAATGGACTGATTTGATTAAATTCAAAAACATGAAGGATTGATTTGATTAAATTCAAAACATGAAAGACTGATTTGAAAAGAGTTGAGACCCATGGAGTTGAGACCCATGGACTAATTGCTTAATCATGAAAGTTTTGAGTGAAATTGAAATAAAGAAAGATAATTTTGACTTTAGAAAAAGATATTTAATTAATTAATTAAAGAAAATGGAGAATTGAAATTAATTAATTAAGATATTTAATTTAATTAGATGATTGATTCAACATTAATTAAAATTAATTAATTACATTTATCAACCCTCTCTAATCAAGATAATTAAATAAATTTAATTACTTCAAATTAAGGCAATAAATATAATTAATTTACTTTAATTAAAATTAATTAATTTTATTAATCACACATTTAAACTAATTATCCTAGTCAATTAATCATTTTATTTATTTATTTATTTATTTTACTTTTTTTTCATTTATTTATTTATTTATTATTATCATTATTTTTTTTAGTGAATTGGATCTGATCAACTTAGCCCAAAAACTCAACCCGTCAACCAAAACAAGTGAAATCAGATCAAACATGGAAGAAGACATTTAAAATTAGGGTTCATATTCATTTCAAACAATTTTTTTTTTTTCAGAAATCACGCATTCAATTTCAAATTCAGCACATGTTCGTTACATACTAGTAAAATCTGTCATTCATTCATCAACAATTACCATATATCTTGGTATCAATCCCTAAAATAACACCAAACATCAACAAACATAGAAATCTAAAAGTGAAAATTCCAGAAAAAAGACAGTAGATCCGGTTCCAAACAGAGGAATCCCACCCACGGGATCAAGCTCTGTTCGTCACCTTCACCACCCTTTCTTGAACTTTCTCAGTTTCAAAAAATTACCAAAAAGAACAAAACCTCTATCTCCAACTAGTAATCCGGTGATGCCTCCAGCAGAGTGCTCTTCCTTTCACCAACGTTCTCAACACCCAAACACCAAACAACAAGCACAGAAAAACAAACTCTCTTTCTCCTCGAAATCTCCCTCTACTATTCTCAAAACCCAGACGAAGACCTCCAAATCAAACTCCGAAATTAACAAAAGACCCCCCTCTTTACTCTGCTTTTTGCTCTATATATTTACCCAAATAATAAAATAAAATAAAGATGAAATAAAAAAAATTAAAAAAAAAACCTTACTCCGTCAATCACTGATGATGCTGATTTTGCCTGGTATTGCTGTTTTTTCTATAGGTGAGGCAGGGGCATGGCTATAGCGAGTAGGAGTGCAGAGGTGAGGGATTGGGGCGCAGAGTGCAAGAGTGCAGGCTCGGTGCAGGGCGGTAAGGCGTGGTGTGAAGGGGGTATGATTGCCGACAGTGGGGCGCAGAGAAAAGGGCACAGGCTCGGTGCAGAGGGGGGTATGATTGCCAGTGATGGCTGGCGTGCAAAGGGGTATGATTGCCGGTGTTAGCTGGCGCAGAGTGCAAGAGATCTGGGCGCAGAGGTGCAGGACTGGTGCAGAGCAAGTCTCGGGTGCGGGAGCAAGGCTGGTTCGCGGTAAGCAAGGGGCGCAGAGCAGGGCTGGTGCAGCAGCAGGGAATCTGGGCTCAGCGCAGCAACAGAAGCAAAAGGTGCAGGAGGAGCATGATCTGGTTAGGGGGGAAGGAAGCCGAGGGGAAGATTCCAAACTCTCTTTTCTTTTTTTCTTTTTTTTTTTTGGTTTTGGTAATTGGGTTTTCGGGTAGTTTTGGTTTTGGGCTTGGGTTTTGGGTTTTGTGTTTTAGTGTAAATAGGTTTTGGGTTTGGGTTAAATGGGTTTTGGGTAATAATTTTTTTTTTTATTTTGGGATTTTGGGTTTGGGTAGTTGGTCGGTTTAGGGTTTTTTTGGGTTTCGGGTAATTGGGTTTGCGTTTGGGTTTGGATTTGGGTTTGAGTAAGTTGGTGGGTTTTGGGTTTTGGATAATTTTGGGTTTTAACTTCAATTAACTTCAATGCGTTTTACCCTTCAACTTCTCATTTCTTCAATCAAGTCCCTTGTCTTACTTTCCTTCATCTCTCTCTTCCAATCTTCTTTGCAAAATCCCCCCCATTTTTATGAACCTAACAAGGAAAACAAAGACACAACATATTAATTAAAATAAAAATAAAATAAAATTTTATTAAAATTTGAGTTATGACACAATGTATTTAAAACATTACCATATGCCTGATATTTTTCATTTTCATCAATATAATTGAACTCCTCCAATTTCATCCCAAAAAACACGGATAGTTATGGTCACAGACCAATAAAAAAACCCATAAAGATGTTGTTTAGTTTGATAAATATTTTAGACTTTTTAGTTTATAATTTTTTAAAACAATTAATTATGGTATCTAAAAATATTAATTTATAAATTAATTTTAATTTATTAAATAATAAATATTAATTATTTTATTAATTATTTTTAACAATTAAATTATTAATATATGTGTATGTAAATAATAAACACACATTGGTATATGTATCCTTACATTCTTTTATGTT